GATCTTTCAACAAAATGCGACGCAAAGATGTTCTGGATACCGCAAGTTCAGCTGATCGCTTGCGAGTCGATAGACTAGGATTACGTAGAACTGAAGCTCTAACTTGTTCAATTGTGTCTACCGTTCTTGTTGACCTTGGGCGTCCCGCAGGCTTCTATTTGAGAGTCGAACCAGTAGCTTCGAACTTTCTGACCCACGATCTAATCACACTTTCCTTCGGACACTGATTTAGGTCATGTAATCCAAACTCACGCCGAAATAAACGCCGAACAATAGCGCACGAATCGCCATTTTTGTAATAATGTTTAAAGCAGAATGCACGTGGCGCTCCGGTGAAGTGATCCATCGCAACTAAATTTCCGAGAACCGAGCTTCTCAACCCCACCACCCGCGCGGCCTCCTCTCATATCGTTCAAACGCAAGAGTGTTTTTAAAATCGTACGCCTTTCTGGCCCACCCGTTACCTTAACCGGTGGAAGTGCAGACTCGCAGCCTATCCAGTCGGAGACAGGCACGATTGTTGACTCATATAATATGTATGTAGCCTGTTGTAAAATGCTATTTTAGAACGTACTGACCTAATTTTGGTCCGACGTTCATTTCAAAGTTTTGTACGTATTTCAATATTTTGAAAAGAACACTGCTTCGCAGATAATATGATGTTATAGATAAATAATAAAAACCCATTTTTCAGTAATTATACAAATATAATCAACAAAATAAAACAAATGAAATTATAAAAATCACAGTCGTTTATTTAATTAAATACTGGTATATAGGATAAACATAGAGATTTACCAAAAATAATTAGCATAATGAAAGATAAAATTGAATCTAACGCCTAAGAATATCTACCTGAGTACCTTTTTAAAATTAAGATTTAGGATTATACAGGGTGAAAAATTATTGAACCGAATTACGCTAAAATACGATTGTATGTATGGTTTTAGAAATAGATTTTAAATAAACTATTTCCAAGTCGCTAGGAAATTCGCGCACGTGTTGTAGCTATGTTGATTATTTAACATTAAAAAGTAAATTTTTGGTAAACAAAAATTGTATCTTAGCTGTCTAGTAGTCTCTAGAAAACACTCCTAACAATAACTCGGTTAATTAAAGTTTCACCCTATGTGATTTTAAAGTGTAAATAAAACTTATTTACCAATAAGTTTAAGAAACTTAACTTTAAGTCATGGGCCCAATCTTCTATAAAACCTTAACCCTAGCCCCTATGGGTATGTATAAACAATGTATTTTGCATCAGATTTACCGTAGGCGTAATGAAAATTAAATGTTCATAGTAAAGGTGAATTCCATACACTTTAGTGGCCCAAGAGTGTACCCAAGAGTGTGTGAAGAAGGACTCGGTTTCCTGTAAACCAATTTTGGAAACAAAGTTTGTATAAGGCGTGTATTTGTGCCTTCTTTTGCATCCGTGGTACAGATTAACTTGTTACAGTGAAACCAAAGTGTACTTGTTGGTTTATTGCTGTTTTTTTTTTTTATAAGAGCAAATACCAGGATTGGCTAAGTGGTATAATGGAATATTTATTTAGTTAAGGATAAGTAAAGAAAGTTACTTGATTATAACATATCTTGGTAAGGAAGAAAAATAAAAAGAGAACTGAGCTTTTCAAAATTTTGTCTACGGTAACTCTAATTTTATTTAAATATCTTGCCGCCTATAAAGCTAAATATTTCGAAACCTATTTTATTATAAAGTTATTAACACAGTGTTGATAAAAAGACCAAAATTATAATAATTATATTATTTTTGTCAATAAATATTTTTATTAATTTGAAGTTGAGCTCTTCAGTTTTTTTAGTCTGCCAATTAATTAAATTATTTTGAAACTCCAATTCCAAATTTAGTTTAACAACTAACTAAATTATTTTTGCATTAATAAATATCTCTTGACAACACTCACATTAAAATAAATATATTTCTTAAATGCTACATTATAATAAATAGTTTAATTTATTCATCAAACTTTACTTTTCGAATGAAATTTATGTTGCATTGTCTTCGTCTGACATAGAGTTCATTAATAAGTCGAAATCATATTATGCTATTCGTATTTAATATGCGATTTAAATACATGTTTCGAAGTCATTTACATTTTAACGATGTCGATATTAAATGCTCGATTCGATAAAATTAAAATTTGGTGTTGTGATGTCACTATTACAAATTTAGTATGGAGCGCCACCAATAGATGGCATTACCTATATTCCAAAATACGCAAGCGAAGTATTTTGTTACAATTAGTATAAGACTGCTATTGCTATTGGCGCGACGGCTATTGGCCTGACTCTTTACCCGTCGTTTTATTGTATTTTGCGGTTCGAAGCTACCGCAATAAATATTCCTTTTCCGCCTGCTCTACAGTGTTTATTATTAATATATATTTTTCTTCGTTGTATAATCTCCTTCTACAGGTGTCACAATTTAAGCTACAAAAATTCTCTTAAAATTACTTATTCTTATAGGGTCATTTTTGTCATGAACACTGGATGTACTGATATATTGAATGAACAATCATACATCGGGAAAGCTCGGAAATTACGAATATTTCCGAACCGTAGCCGCGTTTTTAAGTCATTGTATGATGATGTATTTATGAGAATTAAATACGAAATTTTATAAACATTGCCAACGACTTTGACAAAATAACAGCAACGGCGTCGGGATATACTCGTGGTTTCCGAATTTTCCAGATATCAATTATGTTTATTCACTACGTTTATATCCACGTTTAAGCTATTAAGATGTTAATCTTTTAATGTCTCCATAATTTATGAAATTACTTCTTCTTTTGTAGTTTCTTTTATAGTTAGGATAAGAATCCAAACTACATTCGTATCGTTTTGAGCGCCGTCTGAAATGTTTTAATTTCCACTAACGTCTTTATCTTGCGTCGAGAAATTGCGTACACAAAGCGTTCCTTCTATAATCGTAGTAGGGAGTTTAAGTGCATTGAAATATTTCGAAAGTACTAGAAATTCTAGTGTACACAGAATACGTGATATTAGTTTCTGTTTAATATCGAATCTCTTTATCAACACTTAGTTATCAGACCGTAACTGGAATCAACAAAGCTGCCTTTGTGCTAACATCTACTGCATCATCTTCAACTTGAACCTAAGCACTAAATACGATACTATTCTAATGAAAACGAAGAATGCGCATAGAGCACCGAAATCCACCCAGAAATTCGCGTGCTCCATCGTCATTTCACCCAGGAACTTTGATGGGATCCGAAAGTGGCAATACGCTTCAGAACAATTCAGTTTTTCTCTTCCGTACCCATAAACGGCTAGCATAGCTCCCTCAAATCCATATCTCACATAGCTGAAGTAAGTGAGCCATCGGAGATAACTTGGTATAGCGTTGAAGTTAACAAAGAATCCAGAGAATAGCACAACGGGTATTGTAGTGACTGGTCCGAGATAAACACCAGTTTCGATCTTCATACCAGCTCCGATGAGAAGGCCTAAAGACTGGGCGACAAGAGCGGTGAGGATGTTGATACTGGTGAACATGAGAACTCGATCTGTTTGCATTGGCTGCCCGGTCATGAAGTAGACTATTAGGACGTACACTCCGCTGAAAATAACCTGTAAAATAAAAGAAGATTAAAATGTATACAATCGTGGACCAAAAACCTCGATATAACTGCTAATCGCGATACATGACCAAGTAAACAAGTACACCAGATGTTTCGACGAGTACCAAATAGCTTTATAACCAATTTGTAACTATTATACATTGACAAGCTGCAATTTATCAAAGCTACTCTAATTTCTAGTGATAACAAACACAGCAACTAGATGGCGCTTATTGCAAATTTTAATGGTACTACCGTATATTCTTTTACATTGTTTAGGATTAGCGCCATCTACTCATATTAGGAAGCGTTAATTTATAAATTAGTTTATAACGTACAATGCCATCTATTGACAGGCATATTTGTGAAAGTTCAGAAAATTATTTTAGCTTATGATCAATATTTGAATAATATTACAAGACTTCTAATTATTTCATATTAAAGAAGAATTAATTGATATCCACTTTCTGGCTACTTGATCAGCACAATCTAGATGTAAGACGGAATTTCGACCTTTTTCAGAGATACAATCTGTAGTATGGAAGTTAGCAGTTCTCTTGAGTTGTCGGTCAATGATATAATATGAATCAAAAAGATACATAATACTAAAAGAAAAGAAGAAAGAAATTACTAAAAACCACTACTCCGCTTATGCCTTAAACATTCCAAAATATTTGTATACGCTGTTGTATTAAAGCATTTCGAATTAAACTTACCTGAAACGGCAGATCTGCGATAGTTTTAGCGAAGTAGAACGCCTTCAGCGAATACCAGTAGTTTAGATGCTCTCGTACGAATACACTCATCTCAGTAGGGACTGAAACAATTTTGGTTATTTCAGATGGAATACTTCCCAAATTAGAAGGGGTTAAACTTCTTCATAAGGCGTTAGTTAGATAAAGCCAAGCAGTAAAGTCAGCATTACTGTATTCCGGTTTTGAAGGGTAAGGGTGCTGGTGAAATTACAGGCACAAAAGGGCTTGTCAGTGGCGCAGTCGCAGTGCCCCTCAGATCTTTGAGGTTTAAAGCTCTGAGTGGTACTACAATTGTTATGGACAGGCGTGTAGCTTACCATCAGGCGCATGACTTGTTCGTACCGTCACTTGATGTTATAAAAAAAATGACAGATTTTTTCAAACGTAAAATTTTTGTCTTTTCAAATACAAATAACTTGTAAAAAATTTAAAAGCAAATAATAATTTGGAACAATCTAACAAAATTATCTGAATACTTACATGTTAGAATTGTGGGCATCATAGCCGTGAACATAGTGAACATCACAGTGAAGAAAATGCAACCAGCATTGCTCATAACTTTAGCTGCGTCAGACCCAATATCATAATAGAGGAAACCAATCAATAACCCAACAATTGTGTGGGAACACAGTCTCAAATGCGTTAGTGTTTGATCTCGGAGAATACTTCTGAAGGTTCTCTTTAGAAGTATCCAGAACTGTTTCCATCCCGATGTAGGAAATCCAGTTTTGATAGGCTTCTTTGTGACGCTTTCACTCGAATCTAGGAGAGATGTTGTACAGGTCACTGGTGCTAGATTTGTTGGATTAGGTAATGCTAGTGCGTTCTGTTTTTCTGGGTTGAGAGTCGATTCTGATATGTCTATCACAGTACAGGTTGGTTTGTCTGGAACAAAGATATAAGAAGATACATAGTCGTTTTTGGTGTAATCATGAACAATACTGCTAATCGCGATATAAGACAGCGTAGTCAGGTGTTTATAGTATCTTTAAGAGATAAGTTTAAGGAAACTAACATTGTTACACTAGCGTCACAGTACATTTATGTTAAGAGGAATAGTAATTTCTTTATGAAAAATAATGACAGACATTAACACGAGGAATAAAAACAAAACTAGCTGTTCTTGATAGTCGTCTTCACAAGGCAATGTATACGCTTCTAAAACAAGAATCCGGTTGATATACAAAATAAAAATTTACGAGGTTTAAAACTATAGTGAAACAAAAACTTTATACTAAAGGTTATTTTACTACAAATTTTAGTTTTATTTTGTAGTTTATTACACAACTTCTGCGTACTAGGATGACAAAAATCTGTGGTAGTAACCCGTTTAGCTCATAGAGGTATTCTCGATCTCTGATGTTTGAAAACAAAAAATGTATATTGTAAATGTTGGATGTGTACAAAAGTTATTTACACAGAGCAACCCCTAGAGTTTCTTGCTCATTCTTCTCGGGGGAATCTGCCTTACGAATGAGCGGTAGAGTTTAACCAATGTAACGATTTCAAGTGTAATAATGCTTACTATGAAATAAAGATTATTTCGATTTTTTTTAGTGGGACACCAGAGGTCGCGACGAGTACCAAATAGCTGTTTTTGTAACTAATTTGTAACTGTTATACATTGACAAGCTGCAATTAATCAAAGCTTCTCTAATTTCTAGTGATAACCAACAAATCAACTAGATGGCGCTTAGTGCAAATTTTAATGGATATTGCCGGATATTCTTTTACATTGTTTAGGATTAGCGCCATCTACTCATAGTAGGAAGCGTTATTTCATAAATTAGTTTGCCATCAATTGACTTCTTCGCCAATTAACTTCTGTTTCTTGGCGTGTCGACTCTGACGTTTATATTTGTGAGAACGAGTACCAGAAAAATAACTTCTGAAATTTCATACTAATTTTATTAGGCCATTTACATTATATAAACTACTTCCACGCTATTGATCAGCGCCATCTGGACATAAGATAGATTTTTGACCTTTTTTTAGAGTTACGCTCTGTAGTATGGAGATTAACAGTCCTCCTGAGTTAACTATTTATAACAACTGTTTTTACGGTATTTCACTACATCCAAAATACCAGACAAAAACCACTAGGTACCTATATAACAAGCCCAACATTATGTATAATTAACCACTCACCTATCACAATTTCAAGGGTCTCATTCTTCTGGTTGTTCTTGCCATAGTTGTTGTACATGTAGTTCTGCGAAGATGTAGACGAGGAGCTGGACTGACCCCGGCCATAGTTGCCTTTGTTAACTGCCATTACCAATTTGTGGACCCAGTCCCCATGTTCGCCAGTCGCTACTTCCATTACTGGAAATAAAAGGAAATACTGGTTTAGTAGGTCACGTTAAGACTCAAGATTATTGTTAAAGCACTAGCTTGCTTTAACCAAAACATCGGAAATATGAATGTAGGTCAAAGCTCAAAAATTTTCACCAGTCCCTAAAGCATATTGTTGGGTATAATGTACTACAACGTAAAATGTTATATAGGAATTTATCAGCATCTGGGTATTTTTTTCATAATATTTGATATCAATAGAGGAAATTACGCAAATCGTTTTCAGCTATTATCGCAGGGGTGTAGAATTTTTGTCCCGGATTATAAGTTAGTAACTACAATAATAAAAATTAATCTTTCTTTACTAAAAAAAAGGCCATCTAGTCCATAATAGTTTTAAAAAAAGTCAGTCAGTCAAAAAGGCCATCTAGTCCATAATAGTTTTTAAAAAAGTCAGGGTCATGAATAGAGGAAAATATCATCCAAGGTAACATGTATATTGCTTGTATTTTTTGTATCGTTGCGATGAGATGGTTGTCTATTTTTAAATCAAATATGAATGTAGATGTTAATTGTAAAGAAAAACATTTTTTATATCACAAAAAACACATCGATTGACTGCTTTTTGGTAAACTTACCAAACAGGACCTAACTACATATTATACTTATTTTATTATTTAAACAAAAATTATTTCACCAGTTGGACATAGAATGAGATAACTAATTTTACTGTTGTGCCGATGTTAATACAGAACACCATAATAATATTTCGAGGTCACGGGACCAAACAATACAAATGTATCCTTACAAACGTGATCAGTACAAATTAGTACACTACTACACTACTAGTTTACACTGCACAAGACACTACTTCAGTTGTAATGTTGTCAAAGAGAAAGAAAATCTTAGTAAACGAAAAGGAAAATATTACTTGTGTTTTTTGGGTCAGTGTCTACTCGTATTTCAATTCCATTATCTTCTTTTAAAAGGTCCACGCCGATATAAACGTTGACAATACCCAGTTGTTATTTGGTTTTTAGAGCACAGAATCATTACAATGAACGGAAATGAATATGAGTAAGCGATATCGCTTATGGATATCAATCATGGTCGCTAGAACTTTGGACCAATCACACTTACATTAAAATAAATTGATGGTTAGAGTACGCATTTTAATAGAATATTTCGGTACAAATTGAACATGAATAGTACCAATTATTTATTTGAATTTAAATTTTTTAAGTGTTTTAGGATGTTCAGTGGGCTACATTTTTGTTTTAGAGTGCTTTAGAAGTACTAGGAATAAAATGTATGGAACACTATGTTGGTAACTAATAAAATAGGCTTTACACTTTAAAATACTCACCATAATCAGCAGGATTGTGATAACTAGGGCAATTTAATCCCATCGACGACAAAAATGGCACTAATCCGATGACTTTTCCTTGATATATACATTGCCCGTCCGCCAAAGTGTACAAGAAGTCGAACATCTCAAAAAGCCTTGCGGACGGTTGATGGATGGTACAAATGATTGTTCTCCCTCCTCTTGCCAACGATTTGAGCAATGATATACACTGGAAACACGAAGAACTGTCCAACCCTGAAGTAGGTTCATCGAAGAACATTACAGGCGGGTTGTTCACTAATTCTAAAGCTATGGACAAGCGTTTCTTCTGGCCACCTGATAAATTGATCGTTCTCGTATCACTTGCTTCTACAAGACCTAACATTTCCAATATCTCTTCAATAACAATCTTCTTCGCTGCTTGCGTCATGTCTTTACCAAGTTTCAAGTTAGCTGATACAAACATCGCCTCCCTTACAGTTAGATGGGGTAGTAAACAATCATCTTGCATAATATAACACGACAGCTTCCTAAACCTTCGAAGATTCCTCTCCTTTCCATTAATGAGTATTGACCCGCTGACATTGGACGTCCTGAAATCAAAGTGGAATGAATTTTTAACCGTGTTTTTAGGTTGGCTACGTTCCAAATGTGAATAGTACACAGGCTAATAAACATTTTATTGGTTTTTAAAGCCAACTATTTGAGTGCATTTTACAACCAACTAATATTATGAATAATTAGAAGTTCTTCAACCTAAACAAGCAATCGCCAAAAAATGATGATGTAATATCCGAAATTAATGAGGACATCTGTCCGTCTTTCGATGAGACAAGTTTAATGGATTCCATAATAAATTATTTAGTATTCGTCAAATAATTGTAAAATACTGAGGGTCGCATTCTAGAACTCTACTCAATGCTCAAGTCAGGATTTGAGCAGACTTGAGTATGATTTCAATCACTGGAAATACGACCCTAATGGCAAGGACTTGAGTATGATTTTCAGTGCTCACTGCAATACTCAAGTCCTGACTTAAGTATTGAGTAGAGTTCTGGAATACGACCCTTAGTCACGGATGTAAAATGAAGCCTTTCACAAAACCGGTCTCAATTTTCACAAAGTATTCCTAGCCAGTACATCGAACATAATATTGTTGTAATATATATCTACCACAGGCAAATTAGGCGCCTGGACGTTGAGTTGCGGAATCCAGCCCGTTGCACCAAGTACCATGTAATTATTTATCTATTTTTGTTTCTCTCGACATGTAATTATCGTTATTAACTTACACTTAAGCAGTATTGGTTAAAAGAGTTTGTTAAGGTGTATAACTGAAGCCGAATTAGAGTATTACTGTTTCAAAGTCACGGACGTCACGTAGGACACATTTTTGGAACTAATCTCCAACAACCCGCACTGAATCCCAACAAGAACCGCTATGTGAATAAATAAAATGTACTTACTTGTAACCCGCTAAAATATTCATGAGTGTACTCTTGCCTGCTCCTGAAGGCCCCATAATCGCCGTCAGTTCTCCCGACCTGAACGTTCCGTTGATACATTTCAACAAAGCTTTGTATCCTCTCTTTCTTCCTTCACTCACTGAATAAGAGAGGTCTGTAAACTCTATGTCGACTGGAGGTCTCTTTGGAAGATGTGTGAGAGCGGCCATGGGCTTCTTTTGGTCTCCAAGATCATTTGGGATTTTAGGCACCAGACCTGTCATTGCAGCGGTACCGGCACCTCCATTGCATAGGTTCATTTGGGAGCCCCTGGAAAAGAAAAAAATGAAATCAATCATTGGCTACGTAAAATCAGATAAAGCTTTAAGGTAAGTTGGAAACATTTTTAATCCAGGATTAAAACGGTAATCTTTCACGATTTTAAGTATATTGTAGAAGAAATTGTAAAGTAAATGAATAGATCAAAATAGTAGATGACACCACGCGGTATTATATACTGCCGAACTTTGTCTAAAAATGATGTGTTAAAATACTGACATAATAAATAATACATATAAAGTACCTGTATTGTAATGGAATAACACGTTATAAACAAAAGGAATGAATAAAAATAATAATCTTCATTCACAGCAAAATATAAAGTAAAATTGGAGTAAGTATAATTAATTCAATAATTAAAGGTTTTCGAGTGGAGTGGGTGAAATGAATTGTCTTTATTCAATCACTTAGTAAATATTGCAGAAGATAAAACCAAAGTATGAGTTTGAATTGATGAATTACAATGTGAGAATCATATTTCTAGATTTTATGATCGCGAATGCAAAAGATAAAAATATTGTAAAGGTATATTGAATACACGACTGGCGGTTAATAGAATAAATGTCTCTTACGAAACATATATTTAAAAGGTTACGTATAAAGAATATTTAGATGAATTTGATGACCTGTAACAAAAGCTAAAACGAAGACAATTATCACTCACGATCGTCTTTCAAGTCGAAGGAAGACACGGGAACAATGTATAAATTTTTCCATTTCCAAAATGGCGACAATACATAACTTAACCGAAAACAAAACTAACCTGACAATTGAAACATTCCGGTTGAAATAACAAAGATGAGAAATGGCACTACCATGACTGATGATGAATGAACATCAATATCGAAACGCCCAGTCCAAATGTAAATTTCTACTCAATTCATACAAAATGAAATCATATACACTGATTTAGTTAAACCAATTTCAGACAAATACACCACGTTGGCAGATCGCCCAAGGGCCGTTTGGGATTACACAACTGTAGAATATCTAATACAGTTAGGGAATATTACTAAAGCCTGCTTTTATACAATATAGGCGAGGTTCGGCAAAAAACAGTATGCATACAAACATATTCCAATGTGTATTGACTTTATTGGGAATCTTATAAAGCTAAATTTCAAAAGAATATAATTTTCAAAATGCAAACGTTCAACTTTCGAACAAAGAATATTAACACTATAGAGTTTTCAGTACGTGTGTGACACATTGTACCAAAATGCCGAACAAGAGTCAACAAAGAGATCAGTTGCTAACAAATTCTAAGAAAAAAATCACACTTGAATGAACTTCCGGGTTCAACATTTTTAGAATGTTTCCAGAAGCACGTTTGTTATGTGAACTACGTGGCATGTGTAATGTTTACGGCATCGAAAGAACAGTTAGACTGACTCATACAGTCATTGGCATTCCGTCTTTACTTTCTAGTGCTAACGAATTAATGTTTATTATCAACATTGCTCTTTAGGAGTGAAAAAACTGAAATATATGATGATTCGTCACTAGAATTATGATCATGTATTCTATCGTTTTGAAAGCAGGTCAAATTCAATATGTCTATGTCTCCAGTACACTCAAGGTATTTCAATGCGAGCCAAAAATCTAGGTCTGTAAATTAATATGAATAAAATAAGAACATGCAGGGAAAATTTGATACAGATCCTATGTCGACAAGCGCCCGATGGCGACTTACGAGGCTTCAGTTGAAAACCAAAATTTAGCAGGTTCTCTGTAGTACTTAAAGAGAAATATCTAAAAATTATTTATAAAAATTATGTACAAGATTAGATATGTTATTCTTAAGTAATTCGTTTTAAGCTTTTATTGTAGCCTGATTTCAGGATTTTATATGATCGGATAAAGTACATCCTATCGTGTAATACTTTAGCACATTCTTATACAATATCCTTCGATGCATAGTATAAATTTTGTAAGACAGCTATTTAATATTTAATACCTAATACACTTTGACTAACAAAACAATTTTTTTCCCGCTTCTTTTCTAGTGACTCGACTTATGGTGTTGAAAGTATTCCGTTTTACAATATAACCAATTACACCTATGAGAAACTAATTGGAAAATTTATTTCTGTTGCTCTATTACGACCACAACAAGAAAATTAACTGGTGGTCAGGCGGGTTGGTCATTGATCATTGGTCATGGATCGCATTATAGCTTCAATATATAAACACAATAAGACTGTGGTCGCTTGAGTTTATTTGTTCTTCATTGTGTCGCGATGACGTACGACAATTACGCGACGACTTTGCATACACAACCTATCACAAACTGGAATTTATTTTTTCCGAAATAACGTTTGTTAGAATTTTCATTACACCGAAAACTGAATTATAACGAAACCGTTGTTCTTTCAGAATATGTTGGATGGTTATCGCAGACACGATTCGGTTAGGTCAAGTTAAGTTTAAAAGAAAAAATATTTTCCTCACAAAATTACTTGGTTTTGTTCTCAAAATTACGAGGTTATGAAAATTCGAGCTAACGTTATTTCTGAAAAATATCATTTCGGATTTCTGATAGGTAACCCATACACAGGCACCCTTAGGGTGAGGCCAGGCGAGCGCAGCGTTATCTTGTGAGTTGTTACGACCAAACTTCGGTCGCACTATGTGACGTGTGTGTGCAAGTGGAGCGAGGGGTGAGAGAACCATTTGGTAGCACGTAGAAGTACCTTACACATAAACTTGCATATAGTATATGAAACACTTTAATCTTGTCATATTGAGTGGATGTACCCAAACATTGTCTTCTAATGTTTCATAAATGCCCACTATTTTTGATGAATCCTTTGGACTATATGATACAAACATCCCGGACAAACGTTTAAAAGCAATGGAATAAAATACATTCGTGTGGCGCTTCAACTGAATTTCAGTCGAATGTAAATTGCGCAACTCAAAAAACGCGATTCACGACTCACAAAATTATGCTAGTCCGGCCTCACCCTTACTAACAATGTTGATGAACTGACAAATGGACAATCAACTGATGGCGAATGACGACCTTAATTTAATGTATTTTGTTTGAAAATTACTTTTAAAGTGTTTAATTAAGAATTAAGTTTTATTAACATAAGAATATAAAAGGAGTCCGAAACGCATCGAAACATTGGTTTCTTTGAAAAAACAAAAATAAAGAGTTTAATTTCGAAAAAAGGACGGTGACAGGCGCCGCCATTTTGCGGAAAAAGACAAAAAGAAAGAACGGATTTTTGTTTCGTTTCAATTTATAGTATTCTTTTATTAAGTGACGGGATGAACAACGTACCCTTGGTGATAGATAAGCAACACGTCTGTCCGTAACAATTGCAGTACCAGTTAGAGCATAAATCTTAAAAAATCACAAAGTTCTGAGGGGCACTGCCAGTGCTCCCGTCCCGAAATCTCATTTGCCTGTAATTTCACCAGCACCCTTACTAAACCGAAACGCAATAATAGATATAGGTAAGTAAATAGTACATTATTGCAGACGCGGGGAAGTGAGGGAATTGCTGGACGAGTATGAGTTACAAGGACGAGCGCCAGCGAGGCCTTGCACTGATACGAGTCAAGTAATCCCCGTCCCCGCCGAGGCATGTTTAGTATATTTCTCAAACAATGTGAGGATGTGTTAATAAAAGACTAAAGAAAGGAAAATATAAATTAGTATTAAAAGTAATATTTGACGTGTTAGGATAATTGCCAAAAGAAAATGTTATTGTTTTTCCAGGCACATCAATTGTAGTCTGCTCAACTTCAGATGAGGTATTTGAATGTGTATCTATTACTGTATTTTCGTTATCGCTCTTCTCACTAGCACTTATTTTCGCGACCAAAATACAAAAAAGTCGAAAAAACAAAAGAATACACTTTAGTTTAAATGTTACCGCCAATTTCTTTTTTCAAGCAAGCGGTACAGGTAAGTATTTTTAATTCTCACAACTATGAACACTGAAGTTTTTCTTTTGCCTCTTTACTACATTTAAAAGTTTATAGAAGTGGACAGTAATGGATTTTAAGTCGCACGATCCATAAATGACAAACTTTCCATGTTCGTTTTTTGAAAGAAATGCAAACATTTCCGAGCACGTGTGAGAAAAGGGTATTACAATAATTTATAATAGTCACTGGAGTCTCATTTCTTAGACAAAGTTTTATATAACAAGTGACAATAGTTATTTATCGCGATTGCCCAATATTAAGAATACCTACAATCTAAATTTATACAAACGTAAACCTTTCCGAACACAACACAAGATCTAAATTCCAGCTCACGGTGTCCTTGAATGCTATTCGTATCGTATAGGAACGCACAAAAATAGAAGAACACAACACAGCGCGTAAGCGGAAAATCCTTTTATAATCCACTGGTTCAAAATTGAACAACAGGGCAAAGGAACTGAATAGAATTTAGATAGGTTTTTAGGAGACAATGAATCTTTTGAATGAAGTTTTTGACCAGGTTATAAAAGAACTTTACGTATCATTACTGCTATAACATCGGTGCAAAACGTTGTACAGAATTGTTGTTTGTATTGAGGTTGAAGTTCTTTTTATGCATCGAGTATATAACGAGAAATAGAGACGAAATGTCATTTAATTTGTTTGAAAACTATTCTGCTATATCATTACTGTGACAACTGCGCTCCGATTGGCCAGCCCGAAGTCGAAACAATTGACGGGTGTCGTTAATAGGTGTCGTCAATTGTTTCACTTTAAATTATGTAATATTATTATATAATGGACGAAAATTGCAAAATTACATATTTAATTACGATGAAATTTGATTCCGTCTATTTTGTAATTAGATGTTTTGCTGTTTTTCCCCACACCACCGAATGGAACAGCACGGCATTGTTAGAGATATTATCTTTATTACAATAAATACAGAATATTTTTATAATATACGGAAACGTACACACAGGTCAGTTGTTGGCGCTGTACTATTTCAGCTTTCTAATTTGTAATTTCAGTGCAAACGAGAGTTGATA